AGGGCTTTTATGGTGTTAAGTCTCACTTTTAAGTGTTTAATCCATTTTGAGTTTTTGTGTGTGTGTGTGTGTAGGGTAAAAGAAAGTGGTCTGTTTAATTCTTCTGCATGTTGCTGTCCAGTTTTCCCAACACTATTTGTTGCAGAGACTATCTTTTTCCCATTGTATATTCATTCCTCTTTTGTTGAAGATTCATTGACCATATAACTGTGGGTTTATTTCTGGGTTTTCTATTGTGTTCCATTGATCTATGTGTCGTTTTTATGCCAGTACCATATTGTTTTAATTATTACTGCTTTGTAATATAACTTGAAGTGTCAAATTGTAATACCTCCAGTTTTGTTTTTCTTTTTCAAGATTTCTTTGGCTATTTCAAGGTCTTTTGTTGTTCCATACAAATTTTAGGAATGTTTGTTCCAGTTCTGTGAAAAATGCTGCTGGTATTTTGATAGGGATTGCATTAAATGTGTAGATTGCTTTGGGTGGTATAGACATTTTAACAATATTTGTTCTTCCAACCCATGAGCATGGAATGTCTTTCCATTTCTATGCATCATCTTGAATTTCTTTCATCAGTGTTTCACACTTTTCAGGGTATAGGTCTTTCACCTCTTTGGTTACCTTTGTTTCCCCTCAAATACAGTACGGTGATCATTTTGATGATATATCTGTAAAATGTGAATAATAGAATTTATATGTCTGTATGCAGTCTTTTGAGGTCTTTTGAGGACTTTCTCACATGTAGCAATATATATTGCTCTTTATCCTTCCAGTAAAGCACATATAACCACCACTGTTCTGTGTGTTCCCTTTTTGCCTCTTAAATGTCTGATTAGTTGGAACCCAAAGATTCCAGTGAGTCAATGTATATAACTTTGTATATAATACAGCTATATTATTGCCTACAACAACAATCTGGTGCTACTGTTTTGCTCTTGGCATTCTTAGATGGTGGCTGATCCCCCCCCCCACCCCGCCCCATCGTAGCTCAGCTGTTATGCTCTGTGTGGTGAAATTTCAGTCAGGAGTAGTGCCTGTGGCTTTTATCCTACCGTCCACTGTAGAAAATGTGTACATACTTCCTGCTTGACACTTACCACTTACCTCTCAACAGATCATCCAGCTTAACTTTAACAAAATAGTTTTTGAGTGAATGGGAAAAAAAATTATGACTGTTCCTGAAAGTTAATTTTTAATCTGTTAGATATCCCAGGGAAGAGGGAACCATAGGATTTGGAATTGGGGATGTGGCATTTAGCAACTAGGATACATCCAAGCTTTTAGAGAATAGACTATCTGATTATTTATACTGTATTGGGCCATTACTTTCAGAGAATTAGTAGGCAAAGTTCTAAGATTCCTTATCTCAGAGATGAAGGGAATATATTTGGTTGGAACTGGGAAAGCAAGCTAGGGTTTAGCCTATGAAAAAGATTGTGAAATCCTCATGATGATCTTATGTTATATATAGTAAAGAATATTGTGAGGGTGCCTGGCTGGCTCAGTTGGTGGAGCATGCAACTCTTGATCTCTGGGTCGTGAGTTCAAGTCCCCCATTGAGCATGGAGCCTACTTAAAGAAAAATAAAAAAAAATAAAGGTAACTTAAAAAGAATATTGTGATATACGGTTGGAAATTTTAATTTTTAAAATTACTCCCTATTTGGGTGGGAATTGATGGGATAAAAAAAACTAGAAAAAAATCTGATGAGCATAAATTATGCACAATGAACCAGGCACCTACTCTTGTTCTTCTTACACTGGAGGTCTAGAAAGGCTGATTCATGCAAAGGGAGAACTGGCTAATGAGACCCATATATATATTTTGTGAACTGGAATAAACATGCTTTCCTGAGCAATGTCCTTGTAAGTTATATGCAGGATGGGGAGGCAGCCTCGTACGGTGGCAGGAGGGATGTCAAAGGTCTGATTTGAGATTCTAGAGCCATGACAATGAAAATCATGACCATTTTTATGTCCTTCAGTAATAACATTTGTTTTATTGTCCTTAAAAGACTGTCAGGATAAATGATACGTGAAAAAAATCTTTCAAACTTGTAAATTTCCAAACAAATTTCAGTTGTTACTACTACTAATAATTACAGATCATTAACAATTGGTTAAAATTATAAGCTATCCAAAAACTTAAGATTCAGAGACAAGATCTTAAAGACTGAATTCACTCATCAGTTAATTTTCAATAGATCAATAATTGCATTTCCTTATAATTTTTATTTCTCAAGTGCATGCTCTTTATGAATAATTTCTCCTAATTTAAAAGTAACAATATCCATTTTAATAGGTGACAATAAAATTTGGAAATTGAAATATATTTTCTTTCTGCTTCTTAGCTTACTTTAGGAAGGTTACATATTGCCTTATTTTATAATCACCCTTATGATTACTCAGCTCCTGAAATGTAGGGTTTTTCTTTTTTGGAAGAATATCAAATTATATTTTCTCCAGTATAAAACTATTGTGCCCTTTGTGAAAAGATGGAGGAAAATTGATGAAATTTAAAGCTGATCAGGCTTATGGTACTTTATTGTGAAATTGAACTTTCAGTATGACATCATATATATAAACTAACCCTAGTTTGTATAATATCACTTGGCTGTTTACAAGGAGGGACTCTGGATTGGCTACAATAGTAGATGAAGAAATAACTTAATCAAAGATAATTTCCTGTGTCTACCACTCAGTATGCTAAACTGTGTACTTAATCATCTTCTAAAGGAAAACACACAGATTCATAGATAGATTTTTCTTGCAATAGAGATATTCGACAAGACAGCTCTGAAGTATGTGATTAACTTGAAATAATGGTGGCCCTTAGGGTTTCAGGCTCTTTCTACCTCATAACATTTTAGGTCTGTTATTGCCTCAGGTGAACCCAATTCCCCAAGAAAGAAGATGCTGAATTAATTCTTCTGTGACTTATGTCATCAATATATCTAGAATAGAAATAAAACTATGTGTCTCTACTATTTATGAGATCCTAGGTAGATATTTTTTTAATATTTCACAAAAATTGCTGAATTTTCTAAACCCTGATAATGATTGTGGACTCTTAAAAACAAATCTTCACATACAGACAAATGAGATTAAACATATGTGTACACATGCGCACGCACACACATGCACAAATTCATGTACTGTGCAGAGTTCAAGAATATTCTTTTACTGGATTTTCCCTGAAACAAGATCTAATAAAATAAGTTCTTTTAAAGTAAATGTTTCTTTGCCTTACTGTCTTCAAACACACCATACAGTGAGTGAACACTAGTCAGTTTCTGAAACTTTTCAGGCCAGATTGCACATGCTACCTTACTTTTTGCCAGGATTGCATCACACACACTTTTTCAGGATGTTTATGTCTAAAAATAGCTCAAATTCTTTTTTTTTTTGTTTGAGCAAAGATCAGCTACAAAAATAACTGATCATAAATCTTTGTGTAGTAACCCAGAATAGACATGAGACATTATAATCTGGTTAATAATGATTTGATATATAGATGAATTTAATTGGAATATATTTGTTGATTAAACTAATAAATGATTTTTCAAGTTATATTGAATTCTAGTAAGACTTTCTCATTGTCTGACAAGTATCTAGCAAGATAATCTACTTAGTTCATGATAGTATATAATATTATCATTCATTTACTTTTATGTTAAGAAAGCAATTACCTAATTTTTTCTTTGTTCTTATTTACTCTGGAATTTGTTAAAACCTCTTCAATAAATTCATTTCTGAAAATGCTACAAAGCAGATGTGCCAATAAAATAAAAGTAATTTAAAGAGGAGAATTGAACATGCATGCCTAAAAAGCTATATCTTAAACAGCAAAAATTCATTGTATTAGTGATTATCCTAATAGTATTAGAGGAAAAAATTTCCAATAGTGAAACTATGGCAAACTTAGAGAAGCAATGAGAAGAATGTTGTATCACCAAGAGTATTCAATCTAGAACAACAACCTAACCTGACATTTTCCAAGGAGAATTACATGGAACACCAATATATCATTGCATGGTATATTGCAATTTATTAATAGACGTTTCCCCAAGAGTTTATAATCAAAATTTCAAAATTCTGCATGTTATATTCTCTTCTTGTGCGTTGCAATGCATCTAAAGTTTCTGAGAAGCATTTAATTGGAAATATGTAGGTATTTCTTACTGTGGTAAAATGCACATAAAGTAAGATTTACATTCAAAAATGTACAATTCAGTGTCATTAAGTACATTCACAATGTTGTATAACCATCACCACTGTCTCCTTCCAGGTATGTAACTTTGTGATTGTTAATTTGACCATGAAACAGTTTTCTTCTGGAATATCTTTTAATTTAATAGAAAAGATAGAAAAGAACTACTTTTAAAGTTAGATTCTCATCTATAAATAAGTAAACCATGTATTTGGTGCAAGGATCAAATGGAATAATGTATATAAATACATACTGTAAGTTGTGTGGTGCAATCCAAATGTAAATTGTGGGAATTGGCAGGTGCAGATAGGTTAAACTACTAATTTATTTCTATCACTGCCAGTTAAACATGGTCAGAAAAGAACTACTTTTAATTTTGGTACATCCAAAAAATATAGTTATGGAAATACCGATCTAATCCAATCCTCTCAATTTAAAAATTAAAAATAGAAAAATGTGATTTTGAGAGAGTAAATGCCTTGCTCAAGATTACACAGGTAGTTGGGGTACAGCCAGTCAGTATCTCATTCATATTTCCAACTTCCAAGAACAGGGCTTTTCTATTTCCAGGTATTTTCTGCTTGTTTCCATTGGTGTTGCCTGGATCCGATGATCCAGTAATCTACAAATTATACATTACAATTTGACCTAGAAGAATTCAGGATTAAATCAAATGCATTACTTTTTAAAAGCTACATTGTACTTGTTTTATAACTCTCTCACTATGATTTTCTTAAGAGAACTTTCATTGTAAGAATTCTCTTTAATTTATATAATCCTTCTGTTCTTAGGTCTTTTTAAGATTGTGGCCGATAAAACTCCATACCTCACTATGGAAGAAATAACAAGGACCATTCATATTGGATCAAGTAGACTAGGGCATCCTTGCTTCTATCATCAGAAGGATCTAAAACTGGAGAATCTCACTGTAAAACAGGGTGAGCAAATCATGCTCAACTCAGTTGAAGAGATCAGTGGAGAAATAATGGTGAACTGTGGAGTGGTAAGGAATCATCAGAATCACTCGTTTACTTTGCCTTTGTCACAAGAAGGAGAATTCTATGAGTGTGAAGATGAACATATTTATACCCTAAAGGAGATTGTTGAATGGAAAATCCCGAAGAACAGAACACGAACTGTGAAGCTTACCGGTTTTTCAAATAAGTGGGACTTAACAAATCCATTCCCTAAAGGCTTTTATGGTGCTCTGATTCTCAAGCCTGTTTATGAAATTCAAGGTGTGATGAAATGTAAGTATTCACTGGGAATGATGCTCTTGAGGGTGAGCATTGTGGGGTTTGGGAAGGAGGAAGGCTTTAGAGTTTGAAGAATGCGACCCTGTCCCTGACTTGTCCTTTAAACCCACTAAGAGTTAGATTCTCATCTATAAATAAGTAAACCATGTATTTGGTGCAAGGATCAAATGGAATAATGTATATAAATACATACTGTAAGTTGTGTGGTGCTATCCAAATGTAAATTGCGGGAATTGGCAGGTGCAAACAGGTTAAACTACTGATATATTTCTATCACTGCCAGTTAAACATGATCAGAAAAGAACTGCTTTTAAAGACTGAGCATATTTAGTTAGAAAGAGGCTTTCTTGTATGAAGGTAGTCAACAAAGTGATAAAGATACAAAGTTTCCTTAATATATCCCTTACTGCTATTTTTTTTGATAGCCTTTTTTTTTTTTCCTTTTTTCCAGCTACCCATCACTGGACATAAATCTTATTAGCTGGGAGTCCCTCTGACTTAGGGAAAATGATGTGACAAATTAATTCACACATAAGTGTGTTTTAATATGTGATCTTTATAGAATTATTTGCATTTAAAAATGGAAATAGCTAGGGGCGCCTGGGTGGCTCAGATGGTTAAGCGTCTGCTTTCAGCTCAGGTCATGATCCCAGGGTCCTGGGATCGAGCCCTGCATCAGATGCCCTGCTTGGCGGGGAGCCTGCTTCTCCCTCTCCCCCTACTGTTCCCCCTGCTTGTGCTCTCTCACTCTCTCTGTCAAATAAATAAATAAAATCTTAAAAATAAAATAGAAATTGCTAGAGAGAGCTTTGTTACCCTAGAGGAATTAATACTTTGAATTTTCAAGATTATGGCACATAAGTGGACAACCATGGAACAAAGAGTTCTGTATGCAGTCAAAAGTCCTGGATTCTAACTCTGAGTCAGTAACTTAATAGGTGGGGACTTTGGTTGAGCCATTTAAACTGCGTCTTTGCAAAAGGAATGATGATGCCTCTTTTACCTACCTCTCAGAGTTGTTTTGAGAATGAAATAAGATTGTATTAAGGTACTATACATAATATACTTGAGGAAAAGGCAGTATGTAAAAATGTTTGGTCAAAGGCTATCCCTGGGATACATCAAATTCTCTTTATCTCTGCTCTTATAAATATTGTTGGTTGTCGGTCACTTATATAAATATGAAAAAACTGATGTGAACCTTTGGGTAGGTTTTAGAAGTACATGTTAAATTTTGTTACATAAGTAAGTAATTTAACCAGAAATTAATTAATTCATCTGAATTAAAGGTACAAGTAAGATATAAATTCCACTCAAGTAGCGATTATATTTTAATATTGCAAAAAATTGAGGCCACAGCATGATCATTTTTTAATATGACAAAAAATGGAAGTCGCAGCAAATTTTAGACCTCATATTAGTGCTTTGTTAACTATCCCAAAATGTGTAATTGAAAGTGATAATTGAGTTCTCCTCACTTTTCATAAATAATGGATATAGCATTTTCTCATTTTCAAATTTGTTTATTTTTTAAAACCACTGGCATCTCCTATCACAAAGCTGCAAATGTAGGCCAAACCAGAACCTAAGCACGCAAACAAGGTGGTTACTGCATTTAATGAATTTAGATTAGCGATCAACAAAGCCTTCTCTGAGGAAATGGCATTTAAACTAAGACCTGGAGGGTGAGTAGGAGATAATCAGGCAAAGAAAGAGGGGACAACATTGGAGGAAGTGATAGCAGTTTCCAGGAAGGCAGATAAGCAAGATATTGGAGCTCAGTGTAGCTGGTGTGATAAAAAGGAGGACAGGTTGAGACAAATATTAAAACATGCAGTGGGGTAGTGGAATCAGTCATGGAGAGTCTTGAAATACATGTTAAGGTGTTAACATTTGTCCGAAGGGCAAATTAATAAAGGGTTTCAGAGGAAGGAACAGGGTCAGAGGAATATAAGGAGACCATTGGGTGTATGGCAGGATATTGGGGGGTTAGTACAATAGTGGTATCAACAGGACACTTGCTCCTAATGGGTATTTAAGAAGTACAATCAGCAAGATTTGGATGTCTAATGGAAGGAGGAAAGAAGTCAACCTGATTCCCAGGCTTCTGGCTTGATCTACTGGTTGGATGATGATGCAGTTTACTAAATATAAACATTGATAGCTGAACAGGACATATTAACACAATTGTTTAGATGGACTTATATATGGTTTCATGCTAACCAAGGTCCCAAGAAAGTTTTTGGTTGAAATAAAGTCCTTTCCAAAATATTTTAGTCTAATTCCCATTCTTTAATGGTATTAAAATTGAATTTTGATTTAAGTTATTTTGGGTCTTTAATTTCTTAGGGATTATTTTAAACATCAGTTCTTTTTCTATAGCAATTTCAGGACAGCTGCTGTATGGCACTCCTCTGCATGTGTACTGACTGCAGAATATTCCCCGGAAATAGAGGACAGGTGTCCAACACAGAAAGTCCAATTTTAAAAATTATTGTTGTAGGCATTTTTTCTTCTAAATATAACATGTAGGCTATTTTATAAAATCAATTGTGGTCTTGTTTTACATTATTCTTTCTTATATGAAAGATTCAAACTTGCCTTGAAGTCAACGGCATATTGCTTGCTAAGTTACTTTCCGAAGGCCTTGAGTTCAGGCATAGTTGAAAACCCTCTTGTCTCAAGTCCTCCCTTTCTTAAGTGACAAGAAAAAGAATAGGTCTGAGGCAGGGTTAGAAAATTTTAGAGAAACCTTAGGGGTAAAAGCAAGATGAAAAAGATTGAGAACTATAGGAAGTTCTGAAATAGTGATTTGCTGAAAAGAGAACATAATAAATAGGGAAAAGAAGGAATATAACATATTCTACTCCTGGTGTTAGGTTTTTAATATGTTATTGTTGTGAACATTTAGGCATCACAAAGAAGTAGCAGGACATGTTTAAATGAAATATCAGTTCCTGGAAACTCTTGGTCATGATCCCCATTACAGGCCTGAAGCCCCTCTGACTCTCACTATACATTTCATGATTTGTAAAACATTCTCTCTTTAGAAAATAGATATAAATAACCACCCAAGACCTTTAACTACTAGTCTCATATAAGTCATAGTAAGATCGGTTTGTGCCTTTCATTGGAAGATAAAATTCATGTTGTGTGACAAATGGAATACATAATATTTACAAATGAAAAATTCAGTCTGCTATTTAAAGTTGCTACTAAAAGTCAGAAATCTTGCTCGTTAAAACTTTTTAATTGTGTTATGTTTTGATGTACAGATTGATAATTACTTCTCCCCTAATGAAAATTTCAAGAGTTGAAAAGCTGCATTTCATTTTAGGTAAAAACCTCAATGCCTTCCAAAATTGAAGGGTACAGTTTTTGCTTAGATACATGACATATCAACTCATTTATAAGCTGAGGGTTGAAATCACATGAGCAGAAAGGTGGTATCAGAAAAGCAGTATCTGAATATTGAATAATAGGTGATAAGTCAATAGAAATCCCCCCAAACATTGATCTTTTAGTATTCTGAGACTTCTTCATTTTTTTTTAATTATGTTCTGTTAGTCACCATACATTACATCATTAGTTTTTGATGCAGTGTTCCATGACTCATTGTTTGCCTATAACACCCAGTGCTCCAGGCAGTACGTTCCCTCCTTAATACCCATCACCAGGCTAACCCATCCCCCCCACCCCCCTCCCCTCTAGAACCC